TTTCTTCATTATTGGTTTTGTAAGTGATATAGAATATAGATCTCGGTGAAATTTGATCGGAATTTAAACGAACCCTGGCGATGGCTGCGGATTAAAATGCAGAGCGATCAGCGGTTGGTTTTTTTTTTTTTTACCGACTTACAAATGTGTTTACACGAGTTTTTAGTTTTATGTATACGTAATGAATTTATGCCCATCTGTGTAAGTGTGAACAAAGATCCAGTTGCGTTTGTCCGTTTTAGCTGTACTAGTAGTAGTGAAATCTTTGGGCGGGGGCGGTATCGAGGGAGATGCTGCCGGCGGCTGGTCGTCAAAGCTGTGTTTACTCTGGCACGAGCGGAAATAGCCCGACCAGGCGGTGTAGTTTTCGCGTTGTACTCTCCTTGAAAACCAGACGAACTCACCATCAGTGAGAGCTGGCTCCTTCACTGAAATGTCAGGGGTGAATGCGGAGTGGGAATATGTGAGTGTGTGTGTGTGTGGGGGGGGGGGGGGGGTGTAGAGTTTACTGTGGCCTGTATAGATCTCTCCGTGTTCCCCTTTGTCTTTTCACCTGTATTTGTTGTTGGGAGTAATTTGTTGTTTGTTTTTTTATCATTCCCATCGAGTTAAAATTTGGGTGTTTCATCAGTTGTATTGCGGGTAGTGTAATTAAAGGGCGTTACTGTTAGGTCCTATTTATTTTATTTTTACCGTTTCTGTTCCTCTTTAGTCAAACACTGGTTGATATGATATGGGTCCAAACTGCTTTTCCTACGTTTGTAGCTTCCATCTTGGACGCTTGTAGTATGAAGCCCCCCTCTGACCGCCACCTCCCCCATTCCTTACGCTTATGTGGGCGTATTATTGACTGTGTACGGGTGATTTGAGAAAACCATTGCAGTTTGTGCTATTCCTTTTCTTATTCTGTTCTGAATGACCGTCATTGTTTTGATGAGTTTGTGTTTACTTACCACTCAAACAAGCAGGTGTTTGTGGTTTGTGTCCAATATATCCAAGCTCTGACCCGAGGGAGGGGGGGGGGCATGTCATAAGTCACTGACGTCATATCTCTACTGTATGTGCAGTCCGTGTCGCCCGTCGCTTTTAGCATGACTACGCTGGCAGTTATCACCTACTTTTCACTTGACGTGATCAGAGTTGTTGTCGTTAGTCAGTCCGACCCTTGCCCCCTTCCGTTGTCGTCTCCAGCCGTTTACTCCTTTCTCCGTAATAATATGTGATCATGCGATCGGAAGTCACTAGTGGTGTTCGGGTTAGAATACAGGCGGGTCACGTGGCAGGACAGCACGCTCTGCCATGTGGCGCCTCAGTATTGATGCTGTGACATGTGTGTTTGTGTGTTCTTCTGTTGAAACCTTTCCCTGAACGCCTCCTTGACTATGGTCGTGTGGATTGTATACTGTATATCCATGGTAGGTTCCCATTTTGTCTGAAATGTATATTATTTATTGTCATCTGATTGTAGAGATTTGTTTTGTTTTTCTCCAGTTTGATATTTTCGCTTGGATTCAATAGTTGATGGAAGGAATGGGAGGGGGAGGGGGAGGGGTATATAAAAACTATGTTATTGATTTTGGTTTGTTGTCATTTAATCTTTGATTCCATTGATTCTGATGGTCCCCTGGTTTTGATTTTGTTCCAGTGGTAGATTCTATTCTCAACGGAGTTGATGTTGGAGTTGCCCAGCGTCGCCGACCGCGCAGTACAGTTACTAAACAAGTCAACAAGGAGCCTCTTGTGGTGAGTTCATGCTTTGTAGTTTGTAGTCTCTCTCTCTCTCTCTCTCTCTCTCTCTCTCTCTCTCTCTCTCTCTCTCTCTCTCTCTCTC